AGAGAGAGGGGTGGAGGACACTGAGTGGAGGCCAGTGGAGGGATTGGCAGAGAGAGGGTGGAGAGGACACTGAGTGGAGGCCAGTGGAGGGATTGGCAGAGAGGGGTGGCAGATACAAAGTGGTTAGTAAGGTGAATGAGTCTGGCAGCAGCATTCATGATGGACTGGAGTGGGGATAGCCTGCGATGAGGTAGGCCAATGAGGAGGGAGTTACAATAGTCAAGGCGAGATATAACAAGGGAGTGGATGAGTTGCTTAGTGGTTTCCGAGGTTAGGAACGGTCGTATCTTGGGAGATTATTATTATTATTATTATTACATCGAGTTTATATAGCGCCAAAGGGTTTGCTCAGCGCTGTACAATAGGGGGGGACAATACATGGCACAGTACAACAAAAACAGACAACGTACGAGGGGTAAGAGGGCCCTACTCTTTTGAGCTTACAATCTAGGAGGGAGGGGGTAGTGGTACAGTAGGAAGTGGCTGAGGGGAATGAAGTGGTGGGAGGAATGAGGGAGAATGGCAGTTAGGTGAGGGTGGGGTAGGCTTCCCTGAAGAGGTGGGTTTTGAGGGAGCGCCTGAATGTGGGGAGGGAAGGCGACAGTCGGATGGATTGGGGCAGTGAGTTCCAGAGGATGGGGGAGGACCTGGAGAAGTCTTGCAGTCATGCATGGGAGGAGGAGACCAGGGAGCAGGATAGAAGGAGGTCCTGTGAGGAGCGAAGGGTACGGGTAGGGCGGTACTTGGAGATCAGGTTGGAGAGGTAGTCAGGGGCAATGTTGTGAACGGCTTTGTAGGTCAGGGTTAGGAGTTTAAATTTGATGCGTTGGGCAATCGGGAACCAGTGGAGGGAAGGATAGGGGGGGTGGCAGAGGTGGAGCGGGTGGTGAGGTGGATGAGTCTGGCCGCTGAGTTCAGGATGGTCTGGAGTGGGGAGAGCCTGCACTTGGGTAGGCCGGTGAGAAGAGACTTGCAGTAGTCCAGGCGTGAGATGATGAGGGAGTGTACGAGTAGTTTAGTGGTGTCTGGGGTGAGGAACGTACGTATCTTGGAGATGTTGCGGAGGTGAAGTCTACATGTGTTTGTCAGTGATTGGACCTGGGGCTGAAAGTGAAGAATGAAGGGTAGAGGGGAATTTGCGCAGTATGCACGGTGTTGGAATTACTTGGTGTGTTTTAAAATATTCTGGCCAATAAGAGAACATATGAAGTATGAAGATACTCACAGTATCCAAGAAGGACATGACGGTTTTCACTGAACACAACAGCCCACACTTTAAAATTAATCCATATTTAATTATCATTATAGAGTTAACACATCTAGATCTTTACAGGTAACACAACAGTTATTAACAGAGCGCCATGTCTAATGTGCTGTCATTAAAAACCAGAGTAAGACTTTGAGGTCACGACAACAGTAGCAAAGCGATAACAACACTGTCCCAACAAGTTATCTCTGAAAATATATACTCTCACTAATATATACATTTATTCATAAAATAAATAGTCATTAAAAAAAAATCATCGAACTTAAGAAATACAAAAAAAAAAAAAAAAAAAAAAAGTGGTGACTTAATTTTTTACATAGCTTTGGATTCTTAATATTACACCTTACACGTGCGTTTTGTAAGAGGGAGGAAGTGAGGATCAGAGTGAAAGGTATCAAAGAGAAAGGTATCTGATCAACAGGTATCTCATTGACATTGGTAACAAAACAGAATTGATGGTCAGGTCATGGTGGCCTTGATGACTTTATTGACGTCCATGTCTTGTTTTTTTAATACTTTTTCTCAGATATGTGATACACTTAATGGCCAAAGGTTTGTTGGACATTCCATTTTTAAAACAGTAAGGATTTGCCCCTTCCTTGTGATTTGCTCTTCTGGAAAGGCTTTGCCTCAAGATCAGGGGCGGACTGACCATTCTGGTGCTCGGGCACTGCCCGAAGGCCCAGGGTCAGTAGGGGGCCCCATGAGATGCCCCTGGTACCTTTCATAGGGTGAGGACACAGGGGCCCCATGATCCTCTATTGCTCGGGGGGGCCCCATGAGTTGTCAGTCCGCCCCGCTCAAGATTGTGGACCATGTCTGTAGGAATCGGTGCCCACTCAGCCAAAAAGAACATTTGTGAAGTCAGATACTGAAGTTGGATCAGAAGACCAATAAATTGCAAAGGTGTTCATTGGGGTTGAAGTCAAGGCTCTGTGTAGGCCACTTCCTTTCAGGGGCGGACTGACAACTCATGGGGCAATAGGGCAATAGGGGATCATGGGGCCCCTGTGTCCTTGCCCAAACTCAAAAAAGCCTATGAAAAAGGTACAAGGGGTATCTCATCAGGCCCCCCTACTGACCCCGGGCCCTCGGGCAGTGCTCAAGTTTCCAAATGGTCAGTCCGCCCCTGCTTCCTTTACGCCAACCCATGACTTTATTGGACCTTTGTGAACTTAATAATATGGAGGGGTGTCCACAAACTATTGGCCATATAGTATGCATACACACACAGTGACCAGAAAAATCAGAAATCCAGCCCGCGGACCCACCCTATTACCATATCATATCATGGTGAGAGATGCAACACCATTCATCCGGTATACCACCATTTACTATACTAATATTTGGGGGGAAGGCTTCCATTTTTTTGAGCCTTGAATTTTTCTTTTTAGAATTTTGTAGTAACTCCCGCTACTTCTCTCTGGTTTGGCCTATTTCTTGTATTATATTGATTGGTATGGGAGATTTAATATGTGGCTCCACTAGACTCGTCATGACCTTGTCTGACTTCTTTTAGTATTGGGCACGTCAGGGATCTGGTGATATTTGGGGATTTGGAGATATGTTTTTTTAGTCTTTATGTGGTTTTTACTATTTTGTTACAGATATTTTTTTTTTTTTGGGGGGGGGGGGGGGGGAATTTGTGTTCTCTAATATGCACACTTCTTGGTGCTAGTTTGCATTAGAAAAAAAAAGTTTTTTCTACATTTGATCTGCGTGGGCTGAAAATGTAACTAAAATGTGCCAATAAAGTGGTTGTAACCCTATGATAAGAAATATGAACAAAGCATATCCCTCTCTTGTGTGTATTTGTCTCAATCCAGAGCACTAAGTGTCATTTCTGTCTGCGGCCTCATTCCTCTGCTATCTGCATGTTTTACTTCTGGCAGGTTTTACTGACACAAAGAGACAGGAGAGGGAGCTCCAGCACACAGCCTGTGATTGACAGCCTCAGCTCTGTTCTTCCTGTATGCTGTGTGAAGGGGGGGGGGGGGGTGTGCATGTCTGTTCCTTCCAATAAAGTCTCAGAACTCTCCTCACTGAGCTCTGCAGAGTATAACCTCAGCTCCCCACCCTCTGCTTTCTGAAAGCTCAGACAAGCTGTATAAATTGTGGCCTTCTTATGGTCATAAAGAAGAAGAGACTGCCGATAACCAAGAAAAGCTTATGCAGGAGGGTTTATTTCATCTCTGTGTAGGCTGGTGACCTCACTGGGTATACAGCATGTAAGGGTTTACCACCACTTTAAGGCTGGGAAGCACTGAGCATTGACTGAAGATCAGTTTTGCACAATGAAGGGGCCAAGAAGGGACTCCTCTTCAAAGCAAATCCCATGCTGGATAAAGGTGCAAGACGTCGGGTGGCTTGCACCATAATAATATGTGGCTACACCACAGTACAAAAACTAACTCCATGGTCAATATAAATGTCTCTCCTTTATATGGTAGAAGTGAAAAGGACCACACAGGGGTCCTCTCCCATCTATGGTAACCCATCAAGAGCATATGCAGAGGACCAAGGAGCTTGACACTAGATCCCAATGTTTGGAAGTTGCAGCTACATTACTTTGTTACATACAGAGATTTAGCAGCGGGGACGTGGGGGGAACGCAGGGCCTCCAGCAATAAATGTATGTAACAACAACGGGGGCAGGGGTGTGCTGGGCGGTCTATTGATGCTGACTGCTGGGGGGGGGGGGTCTATTGTCACTGGAGGGGATCTATTTTTGCATGGTGGCCTATTGTTGCTGGGGAGGTCTTTTTTTGCTGGTGGGGGAATCTATTGTTGCTTGAAGGGATCTACTGTTGAGGGTGGGGTCTTGTGTTGCTGGCTGCTGGAGAGTCTATTGAGATCTGTTGTTGTCAAGGGCGGACTGACAACTCATGGAGCCCCCAGGCAATAGGGGATCACGGGGCTCCTGTGTCCTTGCCCACACTCAAAGCACACCCACAGGGGCGGACTGACCATTTGGAAACTCGGGCACTGCCCGAGGGCCTGGGGTCTGTAGGGGCCCCATGAGATGCCCCTGGTACCTTTTTCATAGGCTGTTTTGAGTTTGGGCAAGGACACAGGGGTCCCATGATCCCCTATTGCCCGGGGCCCCATGAGTTGTCAGTCCGCCCCTGCACACCCATAAAAAGCCTATAAAAGGCACCAAGGGCATTTCATGGGGCCTTCTACTGACCTCGGGCTCTCGAGCAGTGCCCGAGTGCCGGAATGGCACCTGCCCCTGGTTGCTGGTGGGGAAATCTATTGTTGCTTGAGGGGATCTACTGTTGAGGGAGGGGTCTATTGTTGCTGGCTGCTGGAGAGTCTATTGGTACTGTCTGCCTTGAGATCTGTTGTTACTTTTGGTGGTCTATCCTTGCTGGGGTGGTATTTTGTTGCTGGGGTTCATTGCTGTTGAGGGAATCTATTGTTGCTGGGGGGGGGGATTGGCTGTTAGCTATAGGGGATCTATTTTACTGTTTCTCTTGTTATCATTAACAAATTCCATACAAATTACTTAGCACCACAAAATGATACTTTGCTGTATATTCTCTATAAGGAACGGGACTGGGAGGTGGGTAGGAACCAAGGGACTGAGCTTGGAGGTGGGAAGGAACCAAGGGGCTGTGCTTGGAGGTAGGTAGGAACCAAGGGACTGTGCTTGGAGGTGGGTAGGAAGCAAGGGACTGTGCTTGGAGGTGGGTAGGAACCAAGGGGCTGTGCTTGGAGGTGGGTAGGAATC